TGAAAATGGCAATACTTCCCAAGGCTATCTACAAATTCAACGTGATACCTATCAAAATTCCAAGCTCATTCTTCAAGGAAATAGAAGAGACAATCCAAAAATTCATATGGAACAATAAAAGACCCCGAGTATAGGGAATTTTAAAAATACCTCTTGAAGCTGGTCATACTTGTATATACCTGTAATCCTAGCCCTGAGGAAAGCTCGAGGCAGCTGGTTCTTGAGTTCAAGGACTACATAGAGAGGTTGAGGTCATCCTGAACACGATAGAAAGACCCAAAACCAACACCAAACCAAAACACACACAACAAACAAACATTTTATTAGAAATAATTTCTCACTCACTAGACACTACGGTGAACCTGAGCTGTGCAACTTGTGGGTGGGGAGAGAAGGGGTGGGGGAAAACTGGGAGAGAGCAAGGGAAGGGGTGACATTGTCCAAAAAGAAACGTACTCATTACCTGACTTATGTAACTAATCCCTCTGTACATCGCCTTTATAATAACAATAAAAAATAAAAATTAAAAAGAAGAGAAATTTCTCTTAGTATGCTTCTTAAATTTTCATTTTCTTACCTTGTCTTTAAGTTTTTTTATTGTTTTTATGAAGATGTACAGAGTTGTTACCTTGTCTTTTGAAGAACAGATTTTTCTTTTGTTTAATGGTTTTTGTCTTTTTTGGTTGGTTGTGGGGCTTGACCTCTAGGCCTGGGTACTATCTCTCAGCAATTCAGCTCAAAGCCAGTGCTCTACTACTTGAGCCACAGCACCACTTCTGGTTTTCTGAGTGGTTTATTGGAGATAAGAGTCTCATGGACTTTTCTGCCTGGGCTGGCTTTGAACCTCGATCCTCAGATCTCAGTCTCCTGAGTAGCTAGAATTATAGGCATGAGCCACTGATGCCTGGCCTTTTTTTTTTTTTTTGAGGTAGGGTCTCATTATGTTACCCAGACTAGTCTGGAACTTGTGGGTTCAAATGATCTTTCTATCTCCACCTCCTGAATTGGTGGGGTACCTCTAGGACTGGCTAATGGCAGAAGCTTTTCCCTTTCTTTTCTTTTTTTTTCTTTAATTTTTTTGGGGGGGTCCGGTTGTGGGCCTGAACTCTGGGCCTGGGCGCTGTCCCTCAGCTCTTCAGCTCAAGGCTAGCGTTCTACCACTTGAGCTACAGTGCCACTTCCGGCTTTTTTCTTTTTTTGCTTATGTGATGCTGAGGAATTGAACCCAGGGCCTCATGCATGCAAGGCAAGCACTCTACCACTGAGCTACCTTCCCAGCCCTTCTTTTCTTTTCTTTCCTTTTCTTTTCTCTCTCCCTTCCTTCCTTCCTTCCTTCCTTCTTTCCTTTCTTTTTTCTTTTTCTATCTCACCAATTCTGGGGTTTGAATTCAGCCTGGGTGCTTGCTGTCCCTGAGCATTTTTGCTCAGAGCTAGCACCCTATCACTTGAATCACAGCTCCACCTCCAGCTTTTTGGTGGTTAATTGGAGATAAGAGTCTCATGGGGCTGGGAATGTGGCTTAGGGGTTAGAGTGTTTGCCTAGCATGTAAGAAGCCTGGGTTCAATTGCTCAGTACCACATACACAGAAAAAGCCAGAAGTAGCGCTGTGGCTCAAATGGTAGAGCGTTAGCCTTGAGCAAAAGAAACTCAGGGACAGTGAGTTCAAGCCCCAGGACTGGCAAAAAAAAGTCTCATGGACTTCTGCTTAGGTTGGCTTCAAACTGGGATCTTCAGCTTTCCCCCTCCTGAGTAGCTAGGATGATAGGCGTGAGCCACCCACAATAGCAGAAGTTTATAATAGCTTATTTTGTTTGTGTGACCATTCTGGTTTTTTCCCTTGCTTGTGCCAAGACCTGAACTCAGGACCTTGCACTTTCTTTTGCTTGGTTGTAGCTAGCACTTATCCACTTAAGCCAGGCATCTAGCTCTGCTGTTTATTAGTTAATTGGAAACAGAGTCCCTTAGACTTTTCTAACTTGGCAGGCAGTCTTTGAACCTCAGTCATCCAGGTTTCAGCCTCCTGACACCTTGGATCACAGGCAGGAGCCACTGGTACTGGCTCATGTTGACAGTTTTTGACAAGCCTTTATAAGCATGAAGAAAATGTTGGGGAGAGTGAAACTGTTCTTCAAGTTACTGCATGCAAAGATATATGTATATAATTTTTTAAATATATATTTATACAGAGGTGTTACCATTTCATAAGTCAGGTAATGAGCAAATTTTTTTGGGGGGGTCCGGTCGTAGGGCCTGAATTCTGGGCCTGGGCGCTGTCCCTCAGCTCTTCAGCTCAAGGCTTGCGCTCTACCACTTGAGCCACAGCACCACTTCTGGCCTTTTTCTTTTTGCTTATGTGGTGCTGGGGAATCGAACCCAGGGCCTCAGGCATGCAAGGCAAGCGCTCTACCACTGAGCCACCTTCCCAGCCCCACATTTTTTTTTTTGAGTCCGGTTGTGGGGCCTGAACTCTGGACCTGGGCACTGTCCCTCAGCTTTTCAGCTCTACCACTTGAGCCACAACACCACTTCTGGCTTTTTTCTTTTTGCTTATGTGATGCTGAGGAATCAAACCCAGGGCCTCAGGCATGCAAGGCAAGCACTATACCACTGAGCCACCTTCCCAGCCCTGAGCACATTTTTTTTTAACAACTCCACTCCTTCCTTTGCTTTCTCTCAGTTTCGCTCTTCTATTCCTACCCACAAGTTACATAGTAATGTATGCATGTTTAAATTATAGAATTATAATTTTTTCTTTTTTGGTACTGGGGATTGAACCCAGGACGTTGCACTTGCTAGGCAAGCGCTTTTGCCACTGAGCGACATCCAAGCAGAATTATAATTTTTATAATAATTTTTTTTCAAAAACTCCTCTAGCCAGGTGCAGGTAGCTTATGCCTATAATCCTAGCTACTCAGGAGGCTGAGATCTGAGGATCATGGTTCAAAGCCAGTCTGGGCAGGAAAGTCTGTGAAACTTTTATCTCCAATTAACCACCATTAAACAAAAGTAGAGCTCTGGCTTAAAGTAGTAGAGTGTGAGCCTTGAGCAAAAGAGCTCAGGGACAGCATCCAGGTCTTGAGTTCAAGCCCAATGACTAACAGAAACAAAAAAGCAAAAAAAAAAAACAAAAAACCTCCTCTAGTATATAAAGGGATGAGAAATGCCATGTACCTTCTATTTTGCTTTTACATTGAAATAACACATTAAATAGAATCTACTTTTATGATATTTAAAAAGATCAATGAAGCTCCATCTTACCAGTGGAAAGACACTATAAAAACCAAGAGCAACTAAGCACCAACTTTAGTGGAAAAAATCAAGAGGCCATGAGTTCAAGCCCCAGTATAGCACACACGCACGTGTACACACACACACACACACATACACACACACACACACACACACATACAAAAATACAGAGTAGTAAAAACTGACACAGGCCAAGTACTGATGAAATATAACAGACATGGTAATTCATTAAAATAAGACAACCTAGCTGGGTTTGATGGCACATGCCTGAAATTCCAGCACTTGGATGGCAAATCAGGAGGATCATTAATTTGAGATCACCCCAGACTACATATTGCATTTCACAGAGGCGCTCCCCTAAAGAAGAGACAACCTAGAACAAACACGTGTTACCTATGCGAACCTGGCATATGATAGAAAAGGTATCACAATCAGAAGGAGAAGATGGAAATCTGATAACTGTCTGAGATAACTGACATATGATAAGGATTAAATTACATCCCAACAGTATAGAAATTTAAAAAATGAATTTTAGCAAGTTTAAAGACCTAAGTTTAAACAGGAAAATTTTAACATTAATCATATTTTAATATAAATCATCTCTTCAGGATGTCAGTGTAAATAAAACAAAGATATCACAAACAAAGGTAAAGAAAGACTTCATATGACATGACTCATTGAATAAAATCCTCAGGGTGTAGAGAAACATAAAATATGCTGGTGTTGGTTTTTTAAGTGAACAAAAGCAGTAAGTTGGGTATGTAGTTGGGTATAAAGTTCCTCTCTGTAGTTACATAACTATATGGAAATATAGAAACTAGTAATAGTAATTATCTTATAATGAGAAGACATTGCAGATGAAAGTTAAAACTGTAGAGAAAAACTCACTGTGTACTTCTATGATGTGTGTGTGTGTGTTTGTTTGTTTTGTTGGTTGTGGGTCTTGAACTATGGGCCTAGGTGCTGTCCCTCAGTTCTTTAGCTCAAGGTCAGCACTCTACCACTTGAGCTATAGTACCACTTCTTGTATTCTAGTGGTTAATTCTAGTGGATAAGAATCTCACGGATTTTCTTGCCTGGGCTGGCATTGAACCATGATCCTCAGATCTCAACCTCCTGAGTATCTAGGATTACAGGTATGAGCCACTGGGCATCAGGCTGCATTTGCATTTTGATTATGTAGATGTGCTACCTCCCTAAATAATTCAATTAAAAAGTTAACTCAAGCAGAGTAGTACAGGGAAATCGTGCTGGTCCTATGAAAAGTTAACTCAGGGCTGGGAAGGTGGCTCAGTTGTAGAGTGCTTGCCTTGCATGCATGAAGCTCTGGGTTGGATTCCTCAGCAACAGAAAAAGCCAAAAGTGGCGCCGTGGCTCAAGTGGTAGAGCACTAGCTTTGAACTGAAGAACTGAGGGACAGCGCCCAGGCCCAGAGTTCAGGCCCCACGACCCGCAAAAAAAAAGAAAAAAAAAAGTTAATGCTTGCCTAGCATGCATGAAGACCTGGGTTCAATTCCTTAGTACCACATAAACAAAAAAGACCAGAAGTGGCACTGTGATCCAAATGGTAGAGTGCTAGCCTTGAGCAAAAGAAACTCAAGGACAGTACCCAGGCCCTGAGTTCAAACCCCAGGACTGGCAAAAAGAAAGAAACAAAGAAAGAAAGAAAAGAAAGAAAGAAAAAAGTTAATTCAAATATGTACCCTTAGTGGGGCTCCAGTGGCTCACGCCTGTAATCCTAGCTAATCAGGAGGCTGAGATCTGAGGATTGTGGTTCAAAGCCAGCCCCAGCAGGAAAATCCATGAGACTCTTATCTCCAATAAACCACCAGAAACCGGAAGTGCCACTGTGGCTCAGGTGGTAGCGTGCTGGCCTTGAACTGAAGAGTTCAGAAACAGCGCCCAGGCCCAGAGTGCAAGCCCCATGACTGACAAACAAACAAAACAACGAAGTAACTTTGCCTGGGTGCCAGTGGCTCACACCTACAATCCTAGCTACTCAGGAGACTGAGATCTGAAGACTGTGGTTCAGTTAACCATTAAAAAGCTAGAAGTGGAGCTGAGGCTCAAGTGTTAGCGCCAGCTTTGAGCAATAAAACTTAGGGACAGTGCCCAAGCCTAATACCAACACACACACACACACAATGTAACCTCTTTGTTTAATCAATTACACAAAAAAGACAAAAATCAATAACGGAAGTTCAAATGATCACATTATACTATTCAATTTTGGTAAAATTAAATTAGAAAATGAAAGAGTGCTTTTGAGCCAGGTGCTGGTGAATCAAGACTGTAATCCTGGAGGCTATAATCAGGAGGCTGAGATACAAGGATCATGGTTCAAAGACAGCCTAAGCAGTAGATTCTTATCTCCAACTAACCAGCATAAAGCCAGAAGTGAAGGTGTTTCTCCAGGGGTACAAAATAGCTAAACCAAATAGCACCCAACCTCCTGGACTGGCACACAAAAACTAGTGCTTTTGGATTGGGGATACACCTCAATGGTAGAGTGCTTACTTAGAATGCACAAAGCACTGGGTTTGATCTTCAGAATCAAAATGCTTTTGTCTTTTTACAGGGGATGAGGGAGCAGAAACTTAAAGCCAAAAAGAAGCGTGATGAAGAAATTGAGGCAGAAAGACAAATCATTGATCTGGACGAAGAAATATACAAACAAGGAGAAAGGAAAAAGGCCATTGAAAAAGCAAAGCAAACTCAGTTGTATCAGACAGAAAGAATGAAAAACTTTCATGTACTTTCCTTATTATTTGTTTTACATGCATAATTAATTATAGCTATGAATTTTTTTTTCTTTTTTTTAATTTAATTTTATTTGTGAACATACTGTACAGAGGGGTTACAATTACATGGGCAGGATAATGCGTACATTTCTTACCA